GGGAATATTTAAAAAAACACAAATAAATTACTCATAATTTAGAAGTATGTTTGCCTGAACTGTTTGTTATAACACCTCTAAGTTAATTAGCATGATAACAAATCACTTTAAATCATTACTTGGCACAGGGAGAACAAGACCTTTACAACTCAATCCATTTTTACGGCCATTATAATTTTCCTCTCATACCATATCAGTTGAAGCTAAACAGACACAGAATAAAGGGAATCTACCCTCCCAGGCCGATTTCACTGTTCCAAACATAGACATTGAGTAAGAATGTGCTCTCCATAGAAGTTTACGGTTTGTTCTCTGCAACAAGAGGACTGCTGAAGGACCACTGACAGCAACGCGAAGCTCTTTGCTTACTTTTTCCCATTATAGTAACAGTTAAAGTAAGAAACAGAACCACTTCCATTTCATGAATATCTAAGCTGGAGATCATTGGGCTTTTCTGCGTAACCATCTCAAATCTGTTCTGGAATTAATGCTGGTAACACCACCAGTGTCCTCCGAACCATCCGATTACCCAGGAGCTGCTGTGCGGCTGGCACCCCGGGGAGCAGCCGGGAGAAGGGCTGCCACAGCGGGTCTCTGCGACAGCAGGGCCGGTGCTGCCCAAGGGCAGAGGAGGACAGCGGGAGGACAGGGACGACTGGTGTGAGCACGGCTATGTAATTAGTCACCAGTTCCCACGAACATCAACGGACACAGGAGATTATGATTTTAGTAGGAGTAACATCAGGTTTGACTTCTAAGACAATTAATTCACCGATTATTTCTATTACGCAGTTGTGGTCAAAATCTTAAGGACAGTACGTTAGTTTCTATCTGGATTGATTCTTTAATATGGTTCATAGGAACAATAGGAATGTATGCACCATTTCTCATTTCCGATTGTGGTTAAAGATTGTAAAATGATCCTAACGATTAAATCCTTCCTCTGTAGTCATTAAGAGTTTTTACATTCTTACTATGTATTTACTTAACTGACTACTGAAGAAATAGCATTTAGCTTGTTGGTCTTTTGTACAAGTCAATAACACGACTATAATTTTTTCATTAAATAATTATCCCTGGCTTGCTTTTCTTTTGTTTTCAAATTATCAGGGAACTCCTAAACACAAGATATTTTGAAACAAACACTTACAGGCTGATTTATCGTCAATGATTAAGGAATTTGAAAAAAAAAAAAAAAAAGGTAAAAGTGTAGATTTATTCAAGAACTCCCTGCACACCGCTACTCTCTTGAAAACACCAGCATGCTAATTTTTATCACTCGAGGGCTGGCAAATCCAAAGCTACCACCAAGTTTTGTGTGAGTAACGTAGTGGTGAGTTAGCGTAAGGTCAGGAGTGGACAGCCCTGTGGAGCCACCCGGGAAGCCTACACAGAAGTCCCGGGCATTCCCCGAGCCCTCCCTGACGCGCGCGCTCCTCATGCTCTTTGGGTGGGTGAGGAGCAGGAGCACCAACGAGGGGGGGCTGCGATGTGGTCGTGGTTCCCGCTTTGGGAGTGCCGCCACTTGAAGGGTGCAAGCAACCCGTTCAGATGAGAGAAGCCTCACTTGTTCTTTGCCCACCGTTCGTGGGCAAGTCTCTGGAGCGGGAGGGCACAACGGTGCAGTACAGCACAGCGTGGCTGTACCCAACCGTCAGGGTCAGAGGTGTTCAGCTTTTTCTAATCCAAAAGCAACAACTTGAACTGGAATCTGTCTGACACTAAGGTGAAACTCTACATGTTGCGTCTCCTCTTGTCCCACCTTTCTCCTCGCCGCTCGGTAACACCCTTCCCCGTAGCACCAAGGCACGGTAGGTAGCTCTGTGGTAGTTACGGGAGTGACACCCTGGCCCATCCGACGTACTGTAACTGTAACCCACAATCCAGAACATATGAATTAAATATTGAGACAGTTTTGCATCATTGCTACAGCTATTTTCAAATAGGTTTTCTCTTTTTTCTATCACTACACAGCTGGATAAATCTGGGTGTTCCTTTCTGAAATACAATGATACAGAATCGTCATTGCACTTCGAGGTAATAAATATAGGTAATTGCTAAGCTAACTTTGGAATAAACTACAGATAAGTCTGGATAAGCTACAGATTAGTTTGGAAAAATTAGACCTGACAGATTACTGTATGCATTTTAAACTGAATTTCTGTTGAACAGATAAATTGTATCTATATCAGATTTTTCATAAAAAAGACTCATTTTTATAAATATATCTTAAGATTCTTTTTTGTTGATTACAATGTAAAAAAGAAGGAATAACTGTGTATGGACAATGATAAAGTAGCCTGTTGATAATAAATATTTGTCAGGTCTTGTCACATCTGTCCACATTCCAATGTTACTGAAGAGACACCACACTGAAAAAAAAAAATACCCTCAGAAAAATCAATGGATTTTGAGCTAAAGCAGTTGCTAAACACACAGAAAACATCTTTATCCAACAGCCATAGTGCTGTGAAAATTCCCAAGCCTTGCATTGGTACAGCTAAGGAAAATTTAATCTTCCCAAATACTCATCAGGGCACTCCATCCTGCAGACCTGACAGCCCCACTTATAATTAATTATACAATTTCGATGGGAATATCGACTAAACAAAGCTATAAATCATAGAAAAAGTCAATAGGCATGGACACATTCAATCATGTCCCGACCAATGATTACTACTCTTAAAATACAATAATTATTTTCAGGAGCCAGCTTGAATTAAATTTCTGTCAGGCTGGTACAAGACCGGCGGTTGATGAAGGATGCGATGGATTTTTTGGGTTGAATTCGGCACAGAGACATTTATCCTTTTAGATAGGTAGTTTGTTTTTAGTGATCATGGTGCTGCGTGTTTAACTAGACCATGAAGATTAGATTATCTCCAATGGCTCATTATATCGTTTATCTTTTCCTTCCATGTTTGATCTGGAAGATTTCCCGCTTCTTGATGCATGAATGAAACGACTGCTGATTTTGAAATGGAATGCGCTTAAGTGGGATTCTGCCTATGCCTTCGCACACCACATCCATGTATGTAAAGTCACCAGCAGTCATCCAAAATACCACTAGGATGTGGTAAACGGCAGCAGCAAGAAAAGCTTTGCTCAGCTTCAGAAATGTACTGGGAAAAAATAAAAATAACAAACATTTGAGTTGTTTTAAAATAAGCTAAAAAATTCTAATAGTAATACACCTAGAGGAAAACCTAGGACAAGAATGGCATTAGTATGGAAATAGGAATTGGGATTAGCGTTATTACTTTGAATTAATTGTCTCCAAAACTGGAAAACATCAGTGAAAAACGTTATGTATTTCCCAAGGATGTATCCACCTTGTAAATTTAAAAAACCCCACAAACGCCAAACCAACTTATCTTGCAGTAGCTGTGTTTTTAAGGTATGTTGCCTAGACAGATATTTCTCATGGTAAGCATACATGCCACACACGAAAGACGTGCTGCGAGAAGGGACAGCAGTCCCAACGAACGGGACGGACGTCAACAGATGCTGAAAGGAGAAACAGATCTTTGCTCTCCTCATGAGTCTGACTCATCAAACTCTTCTGACCTCAAGGAATGAGTGAGATCTCAGATTCCCACATGGAATTAACCTCCTAGGTGTAAGTCAAAGCCAGAGAGGGTAAAGGGGCTCCAGCTGTCCTCCTTGCCCTGGATCCGTGCAGACAGCCCTCCAGCAACCCGGTTCTCTGTGAACAGCATGAGAAGCAGCCGTGGGTAGGAGAGAAGGAGAGAGAGGGGAGCGGCGTGGATCCTGTGCACATCCCATCCCTACACAAACAGCAGCAACACACCGTGTGAGCCAGCGCGCTGTGAAACTGGTACCCAGTGCGGCAAAACCGAGAGGTGGGGACTGGGACAAACACGAAGGGGTTCTCAAAAAATCTGATGTAGTAGATGAACCCCTTGTCTGCTTTTATTTTGGGCGTAAGGAAGGAAGGTAAGATTCGGTCACCCTGAGGAAAGGACTGAAGAGAGAAGGAGAACCTCGGCTAGCTTGTCAGCCTGCACAAATGACTTTGACACACACAGTTTCTGCAGAACACACCAAGTTTTCTGAAGGTTTTCTTTGTCTAGTGTAGTCTGCCCTATTTCTATAGCTCAGAATATTCAACACACGAATGTTGCACACACAGGCAGACCAAGATCTGACACAAGCGAGCGCAGCTCTTCTGATGTCAGTGAAGTTGGGCCCGTTTCCACAGGCAGAGGGTCTGGCTGGTGAATCCACAGCTCCCACATGCAACACGCACATTCCTGACTTTTATCTGTGTGTAACTGTTGGGTGGGATTTTTTTGATGCTTAATGGTTTTCTTTTAGATAGATAACTTCTAGGAACCTTAGATGAAATTGAGAAAGCTGCAAGTAGCAATACAGAGATTTTCCAAAACGAAGTGGCTACATTTTGAAATAAAATCACCTTAAAGAAGATATAAGGCCATTCTCCACAGCAAAATTACAAATCAGAATGTTAGTGTTCCCTGTCTGCCTTCTCCTCATAGGAAGCCCTATATGATTGCCTAAACAGTGCCAGTCTGCTGAGAGTTTGAGCTTTCTATTCTATTTATTCATGCGTTCCTATTATTCTTTGTACACTCAGAGGACCCAGATATTTTCAGAGCAGCTTTGCATTAAGGGCTTTTCCTAAGTTACTATGGTGCACAATGAAGAGCAAGTAAAAGAAACTGGATGCATGAAGAAATGCAGACCAGAGGACAGAGAAGAAAAGTGAACTGTCACGTACATTTAATTTACAATTTTTTCTTCGAAAAAGAAGGTAAACAGATGCCAAAGTTAAGAAGCTGTACATAAAATAACTGGCTAAGTGAGGAGGAAATGTGGAGCAGTTACTGTGTTAGATGAATTATCTCTTCTCATTCTGTTGACGGGAAGGTTGATAAGGATAAAGGGCTGGTAGAGAAAGGCAGTTTCTATGTGAGTTTCCAGCTTATTCCTTCAAAAGTGTTCAGCAATGAACTTACCGCAGTGCCATTGTTATCTCTAAACACATCTTGATTAAAATAGTCAAAGAGCTTCTTTTCTAATTGTAGCATAACCTAAAAAAAATAGAGGAGAAAGGTCAGCAAAGCTCTTCGACTCAGCTACCTAACACGGCTTCGGCAGTGACCCTTTTCGAGACACGCCACCCTTTAAAACTACACGACGTTTCCACGCGTCTAAAGCTCCTTGTCAGCTTGCCCATTTGGTTGACTGGCAATCACTTAAAAAGATCCAATTAACTCAGCATTAGGTGTGACAATCTATATCCCTCCCCTCCCTTTAAATTATCAGTTTGAAACAACTATATTCATGCTTTGAAGAAAAGAAAGTGAACATTCAACAACGTTTCTATTTACACAGGGGGTACAGAGGGCATTAAGTTGTTTACCTTTCGGTCATTATCAGATTCACGAAATATTAGCTTGACTACTTCATTTGTGTCAGCTGCCCGGATAGTCTGCATTGTAGCCTTTGCACATAGTGTCTAATAAAAAAAACAAAGGGAGAAAGGGAAACTAGTTTATACACACAGAAGGCCACATTTCATTGAACTTTATCAATCTACACATCTTCAATGCCCACCTGAAAACGTGATTTGCTGTAGGTCAAAATACAAAGCATCGCTAATTTAAGTTACTTCCACTCACGATGGATTTAAACCAATAAACTGAATTACCGTTTCGAGAGAAGCAGGCAATGTTAAGAAAGTATCAATCAGATGATAAGGCAAATATTCATTTAACTTACTACCGTGCACACAGGTTCTTTCACAGGTCTGACACTGTATCTATCTCACACATTACTTGTAAACATCCTCAAAAGCCACTTCCTACAGCTAATGACTCCACAGCCCTACCGGTTTCTGTACCGCATTCTTAAAAGCTGATAACTGCACCGGCACTACAGTTCTGTGGGTTAACTCCTGTTTGCAAAACCTTCTGCCTTGTAAATTAATGTTCCACGTGTAACTTAAAAGTCAGAGCAACACTTACACAATTTGACAATAACTTTCACAGTTTACTCTGGACAGCTAAGTCCCCGCGCATCATCCTTTTAAATAAGAGACAACTTCACATCTCCAGATTTTTTGAGGACTCGGTGTCTGAAACATATTATAAATCAACGCTTTATCAGGCCCAGAGGTATGAATTTCCAAGGAAGTGTCAGGCCCCAATTCATTTGCCGTTTGGTAGCTTTGGATTGCTTGGTGGTAGCTTTGGATTTGCCAGCCCTCGAGTGATAAAAATTAGCATGCTGGTGTTTTCAAGAGAGTAGCGGTGTGCAGGGAGTTCTTGAATAAATTTGCAGCTGGGGGCTGGTTTCAATGACAGCCAAAGCTGACCCAGGAATAATACAGAGCAGGTTGTGCAAAGGGCTTTGTAACAGGTGAGAATCTGGAGCTTTTAGCAAAGCAGTCAGGCATACATTTACTTAAAAATATGCTTTAGATTCCCTGAACCTCTACTTTTAGTGAAGCTTTCCGGATGTTAAGCGCTTTGAAATGCAGAATCAGACTATATTGTAACTGTGGGGCAGGCAGGCTTCACAAGCGCTCTGCCATTACCTGCTGGATGGTGAGCGATGCCAGCCCAGCCCACCCGCCCGTGATGCTGCGAACCGCCGGGCAGAAGACAGAAAGGGGAGTTGGGAAAACCTTGGCGAATCGTCCCAGACGTGCGGCTGCCCCGGGAGGCAGTCCAGCACCCTTTGCTGCTGCCGAGCCACCAGCTGCTGACGGGATCTATGCACGGCCCTGGGAAAGGGTATCGGCAAAGACCGCCCTTCTGAATGCAAGCTCGTTTGCTGGGGGTTCTTCGCAAAAGTGTGCTAAAGAAAATAACTCGCTCACGAAGAGGAAAGAGGTGACTTCCCTGCTCTGCCTCTTCCATTCCTTTTCCTAATGGCCAGACACAGATCTTCTTTTTGCATAATATTCACTTATAAAATAAATATGTTCTAGGGTAATGGGGTAATAGAATTTCACACCCCACTACATGCCTCTTTCTCTCACAAATATAAATACTTGGGATTCATTATTAGAAGTGCGGCATCTATCAGACACAATGCCATGAAACTACAGCTTACTTCTCAGTTTCCCATTCTGAATTTCTTCTGAAGGAGGTGCCAAACATGTATTTAAACAAAAATGCATCTGCTTCCAAGTAATTTAGACCTCAGCTGAGGTTACCAGTGCTAGAATGGAAACAATCCGACAACGGACTTTTCGCCCACATTTGATAGATACTAAAAAATGATCCTTGGTAAAGCACCCGTGTGTTGCCATAGTACAAACAAAAAGCAACAAGCTATGCAATTTCATTTTTAAAGGATAACTTGAGTGTGATTCAGTAAAAATAAAATACAACTCTGATCTTTTTCTCCAAGTCTGTGAACTGAACAGGTGCCGATTCCCCATCTTACTGAATAAACGATGTCCTTTCCTGACCAATTTTCCTTGTTTCCTCCCCCGGCAAAGAGCAGTGCCATGTCTATAGATGACAAACATCTAACTCTGGGTTCTACCCTAAAACCCTTTGCACACTCACGGCACCAACGCGGCCGCAGGTGTCTGTGAAATCAGAGTTTTCGCTGGAGGAGGGAGTGCTGGTCACATGGACGCAGATGGAGGCTGCCCTTTGAGAACTTCATCTGTCCTGCAGAATTTTAAGGGTTTTTTGAAAGGCCTGGGAAAGAGAGGGAAGATGCCAGCAGCAGCTAGTTAAACCTGACTCCGCCTGGGATGGAGGAGGAGAGGCACACCAGACCAGCAGGGACGCCGCACTTTTGGTACCACTAATTTTAAGTGCAGACCTATGAACTTTTCCCTCGCATCCACCACGTACCGTAGGATCCCTTTTGTCTGTTTGGGCACGTAATTACGGTTCTGCCATCTGTGTCCCTACCGGTGAGGTAATCCACCGGCGAGCCATTCCCAAAGTGCACTCCCTCCGATAGCGGCTATTGAAATTCAAAGCACAGATTAGCTAATCGGGTCAAACCCCAAAAAATAGGCTTTGGGCTCATGTGTCACAAATCAGTCTGGTCGCCTTTAAACAGCGCACCAGATTAGAACAAGCACCCGAACAAACCAAAGCGGAAAACCCGCCGCTCTCTAAAGCTGGTTTCTAAAGCCCTAACAAATCGCTCCATCTTTCACTCATTTAAACTTTCCAAATGAGGGTCAATACGGTCCCCGAGCATCCAAATGCTAATGCGCTTAAGTGCGCTTAAGCAGCTTTCCAGAGTGAATGGGCCAAAGAAGGGCTCGAAAAGACAAGGCAGAGTTACTGTCACTGTCAAAAAGTCATTGTAGCCACCCCCAGAGTGGTTGCAATTCAAGAAATTCATGATTTCTGTCTCTTAAAGGCATCTGCTTGAGAACATTTTTTTTTTCCTGAGCTGCTTTATCTCACAACTTCAGGCCCGCTCTAAAAGAAAAAAACCCGCGATCGACTCTTGAGAACCAATACAGAGAAAGGACCCACATACCTTAATGCTTTCAAATTTCACACACACAAAAAGTTACCTTATTCACAGACAAAAAGTGATTGGGCAAAGGTTCATTTCTTATACAAGCTGGAGCACTCCTTTTTTCCTCCTCCTTTCAATTTCTACAAAGTCGTAGTCACCCAAGCAGAAAACTTTCGGGAACATGTGCCTTTTTAGACAAGTCTACTTATGAAGGGATTTTTTGTTGCTGGTAAAGAAAATCAAAATGCTACGAAACACACTGTTTCTTTGGGGTGTTCCCTCAAACGTACTTTTTTACAAGGTCAGGAGATGGGAAATCAGGTATCAAAACCTGTCTGCCTAAGTTATCTTTTTAAAAATATCTTTTTTTCTTTGGAAACAAGATTTGGTTAAAAAGTTTGCTGGAGAGCTGTATTCAGAGCTGCGAGAGCGCTCGGTATTCAGCCTTTGCTTAGTAAACACAGACGTGTCTTATTCCCGTTTTCACATACACTGTCCACACAGGTAGATGCTTCGTAGTATTTTTTTAAAAATCCTTTGTGATAATTTATGTGTATTAAGTTGTAAAACATGGCAATAACTTTTCTGATAATTGCCTTGGAACATAATAAAAAGGTACCGTTATGCAAAACCAGGAGTGAAAGTTTTTTATAAAAAACTTTTTATAAACCCTGCCATCCTCAGAAACTGAAAGCCTTTTGATTTACAGCATAAATGCGACCTTCAAAATACATCTGCTCCCATACATACACAACACACTGAAATGTTTTAGACTGTATTTCTGCATACTTACAGTAAAAAGGGATAAAGACATTAAACCAGTTGTGTTACATATGTAAAACATACACACACAATATTCTGTAATATATATAATTGCTTTTTATATTGCATTTATATGGAAACACTCTGAACAGCCATGAACTGTACTACGGTTTCCTGCTAGTAGTGCTCTCTTGAAAATTGCAGCTGATTTTTCACTGATTTTGCACTCTTGCTTTCTGAACATCCTTTAGACTCCTGAGTCCACCTCCTGATGTGTGAGCTGAGTTATCACAGGCTTGTCATTCCTTAAACTTTTTTTTTTTTAAATTGCTGTATCCAAGCGTGTGCAGACTCAAACTTTCCTACTGTGTCTATCTACTGATTCTAAAGATGTGTATTATTTTTCCCAATGATCTGAATACTATTAGGACTTACTATTATTTTGAATTCTTCTTCTACAAAAAAAAAAAAAAGGAAAAAGAAAAGAAAAAGAAAAAAGAAAAAAAAGAAAAAAAGAAAAAAAAGAATATATTCATTGCTCCTTTATAATTAAAAAAGTTCAGCAATAGTTGCAACTGCAACTTCCAGTAAGCTGCATGGATTAAAACCCATGGAAGTGTTTGCTGCTAAAAGTGCCAGGAGAGAAGTGCAGAGTCTGAAGAATGCTAACATGAGCCAGTTGAAATAAGGTCTTGAGCAGATGAGCAACCAAATCAATTAAATTTAAGATATTTCATTTTATTCCAGTTACATACTCTGTGGATTCTGGCAGGATAGAAAAGACAGAGGTACATGTATCATCTAATTATGACAGTGAAATACTTCTTCTGAAATGCTGCTCAAAACCCCAAATCAATCTGACACTTATTAAATTAGGATAATCAAACGTGGCTTTTTTATTAACTGGATGCAAATTGTATTGGAATCAGTCAGTGAGGTAAAAGATCTGCTACTTTGGGAATAATAGGAACATCTGTCTTGCTCGGGCTCCTCCTTGCCTCTGAGGGGCTGATACGATTTCCTGGGTATTGGGAATATACTACCAGTAAATTCACCAGATCATGTCATGTAAGAAAAATAAAATTTGCAAGTGAGAAAAAACAAAGTTAAATGTAGCTTTCTGGGTCAATGAAAGTTGTGGGCAGGTAACATTGTGGTTTTTAAACTCTATCTGCTATTGAAATGGAGACTTATTTTAGCTAATTTTTCGCAACTGTGCAGAGGTATTCAGCCATAGAGCTGCCACAAACA